TTACAGATCGTCCTCAACTTATGACCACAATTGAGCCCAAAATTTCCATTGCTAAGCAAGGCAGTTGTGAGTTGCACCTCATTTTATGACTTTTTTGCCACAGTTGTTAAGTGAATTACTGGTTTGTTAAGTGAATCATGTCATCATTAAGTGAATCTGGCTTTCCCCGTTACTTAGCTTGTCAGAAACTGACTGGGAAGGTTATAAATGGTGATCACATGACTTCGGGACAGTATAACTGTCATAAATCAATGCCATTTTGATCATGCACCCATGAGGATGCTGCAATGATCATAAGTGAATACTGGTAATAAGTCACTTTTTTCAATGCTGTTTTAACTTCAGTCACTAAACGAATGGGTTGTAAATTGACAAACGGTACCCAGTCCTGTTACGTGGTCGTATTTTAAAGATTTCCTGGCTTTTGAGAAGATAGGATTTGACATCCCTAAGGATCTCACATACCTTAACAGAATACTTAACTCTTTTGTCTCCAAACTCATAGCCATTCTGTTGGCAGTCATAACTTTAATCCACTAACGGTGGTTTAATTTTATCAAACTATAGAGTTTTAGAAAAGTTTGAAGATATATTGTGCCAATGACATATGAATCAACAAATCTTCAACTCATAACAATGCTGGGGGTCTTTGGATTTAATTCACTTAAAGCCTTCAACAGCTTTTATTACAAGCTGTTTTGGACTGTGTGAGAAGGCAAGCAAGAAGCAACTTTAAAAATCAAATATACAGGACAGCGTAAGTGTAAATCTGCAGTAAATCGGACAAAAATAACTATCATGTAGAGCAAAATGTTATTCAGATAGGCTCCATATATAATTTCAATTTATAAGGCTACTCCAATTCAAAACTGATTCTAGGCAGCATACAATTACAATCTAAAAAGAAACAAAAGTAATATTACAGAAGAAGGGAAATGGATATCACAACCAAAGCAAATCAAATGGGCGCACCACTGATTTCCTGTAGCTTAGAGTAAAAGCCAGGTTTTTAGGAAGTGTTTAAAAGTTTGTAGGGGGGCAGGGTGGATCCAAATCTTTCTAATTCTGGCTTATACTTATTGGGAGTCTGTAATCACATCTGTGATTTATTGCTATGAACGCCAGTGGCTTTTTCCCCTTAAGGAGGTCTCTGACTGGTTATCAGTGGTGGGCCCATTTGATTTGTATAATTTGCTTTGATTGTGATATCCATTTCCCTTCTTTTGTTTCTTTTCTAGTCTGGTGCCTTAACCACTAGACCAAAATGGCTCTTGTGACATGCGAGTGCCCTAATATGGCATAACTGTAGATTCAGATAAAGGTACCTTGAACTAAAACTCTCAATGGCATTGGAGTTTAGAAGTTAGGGACAAGATCTGTGCCAGTAGCTCCTCTATCCCTCCATGCATTTAGTCTGCATAAGACTAGAAAGCAGTAGATAATGTTCAAGTCCTGCCTTAGCCATGAAAGTCACCTGGGTGACTTTGGGCCAATCACTCTCTCAGCTCAATCCACCTCACAGGGTGGTGGTTATGGGGAAAATAGGAGGATATATTTGGCGCCTTGAATTATTTGTAAAAATAATAAAGGTGAGATACAAATTAAATAAATTAGGCATTAGATTATAGAACAGCTGTAGTTGCTGGAAAACAGCACAAATCTCTGGCTTACCACAGCAATATCCACATGGAGAGCCTTTCATCCACGTATTTTTTCTTAGCTGCCTTGGCTGATTCAGTCCAGTGTTTCTCAAACTTGGCTGCTTGAAGATGTGTGGACTTCAGCTCCCAGAATTCCCCAGCCAACTTGAGGCCTCCTCCTAGTTGTGCTGCTCCGTGACACTTGCTGTGAGCAGTATACCGATCAATGCAATGTAGAAGTGACAGAAGTGACATTGGGGCTAGAATTCATATTCAAATCCCCACCTATCTGCCAGATGAAAGATCCAGCCTTTGGGACTTGTTTTTCCCACAGGAAGCCTTGGGGTTTTCTGCCCAAAGGCTTTCAACCTTTACCAAATACGTGGAATAGGGTTCTGCTTCAGTGAGAGCACTTTTAAGTAATTGAAACCCACCACAAGGTAGGCTGAGCAAGCTACAAACTGCCTCCCATCACATGGTGAGACCAATTTCTTTAGACTCTAATAATAATAATAATAAAGTTGGAAGGGACCTTGGAGGTCATCGAGTCCAACCCCCTGCTCAGGCAGGACCCTTACACCATTTCAGACAAATGGCTGTCCAGTCTCTTAAAAACTTCCAGTGTTGGAGCATTCACTGTTTCTGAAGGCAGGTTGTTCCATTGGTTAATTGTTCTAACTGTCAGGAAGTTTCTCCTTAATTCTAAGTTGCTTCTCGCCTTGATCAGTTTCCATCCATTGCTTCTCATCCTGCCTTCACTCTAGAAAAACAGGGCATTGTTCTCCATTCAGATGGGCAGAGACTAGTAGATTAGCTGCTTGGTTCCTCACCCGTCTATATGCAGGTCCTTATCTTTCCTATCTTCCTCAATATGTGCGAATTAAAGCATGACTTTAGGCCTTGTTAACCTGTAATCTGTAAGTTGGTAGCATGCTCCCTCACTTAGCTTTTCATTTTCCTCACTGCATGAGAAGTCCTGCAAAATGTAATCTTGACTGCTTACTATGACTAAGCTTGTCAATCTTTTCTTATATAAAAGGGAGTGGGGTATTTAAACATGAGACATTGGGATAAACTCCAGCCTTGCTTCCTGATCGCCACATTGAAGATGGGTCACTCTGCTGACACACGTGAAAGTGCAACTTTACCTCCGTGGGTGTGTATTTGTGAATGTATGAGAGTACAAGCATCCACCTCTCAGCAATCCCTGACTTGCAGTCAAGGGTCAGAAGCAAATCCTATAGTAGGCGTGAGGCAAGAACAAAGAGAAACTAAAAATATAGCCTGGAATGAATGGAGGCTGAGGTATGTCTGGCAGGTAACTAATTGGTCTCAAGGCATTCAATAAACTTTCAGTAGTTAAAATAATCTCACACCCTTTCAAAAATACAGCTAAGACTATGATTTGCAAAATGGCTCTGAAGATTAGCAGGAATTAAAAATCATACATGATTCTTAATGTTGCTTCATACTCTCAAAGTCATGGGATTTTGTACATAAGTCATCCCATGTTTATACAATACGCTTTATTGGGTTAGTAGGGTAGTGTTAAAAAGGAAATGTGTACTAGATTCTGCCATTCAGCTAGGTTATAGGGAAATTTTGAGAGAATTAAGGTTACACCTCCAGTCAGATCCTAACAAATGGGGGTGAGAGAGGCTGCTTAGGAAATCTATCAGATTCCTTTAATGCAGGGCTTTTCAACCAGTGGTACGGGTACCACCTGTGGTACATTGGCACCTGGCAGGTGGTACGCGACCATCCTAGAAAAGTAGCGGGGGAGGGGACTGAGAGTGCCGCCGGGCAGGCAGGTAGGTGTCTTGCTCAGCTGTGGCTTGGGGGGCACTTTTTTCAGTGCCATTGTAACTTCGAACACTCACTAAGCGAACTGTTATAAGTCGAGGACTACCTGTACTTTATCACTTTTTTCCTTTTTTTGGGGGGGGGGTCATCAAGTTTTTGACACCTTGCTAGATGACTGGTGGTACTCGGATATTGCCATATCCTAAAAGTGGTACAATGGATGAAAAGGTTGAAAAGCCCTGCTTTAATGCCTTAGGGACCCATGAAGAGTGAAAGAAGAAAGGATTGCATTTGTGTGTTGGTAAACCTGCTGGCGTGAAGAAGCTAGGTCAGGCCCCAACAAATTATTGTAAGACAGCAGTCATTTTTCAGGACTGAGAGAACACTAATGGTGTTTCCAGCTAGCGAACAAGAAGTCTGCTGAGGAGAACTGCTTGTCTCAATTCCTGTTTGCTGGAAGTTGCAAACAGAATAAATGTTTAGCAAATATAGAAGAATGCAACAGGGAAGGATAGTCACATGCTATAATGTACAGATTAGTTTTTGTTCCCCCCCCCTCACACACACCATACATATCAAGAATACTAAAACTATGCATTTAAACAATCAACTATAAATTGCAGTAGTTGAAAAAAGTGCCCACTTTCATCACAGTAATTCCTTCTGGATTGGCTTCACCTTACACCAGTGTTTTAAAATAGCTGCATTTCAGAGGAAACGGCAAATGAAATACGAGATCATAGCCATCTACACTAAGCTGCAATGATGAACTATACACGTGATGCCATATTGCAAACTCTGCCCTTTTCTTTTTTTCATCCCAACTTTAACCGTGAGTATGTACATCACAGGGTTTATATAACAACACATGACACACATCTCTTTCCCTCTTGATGTCATCACCCATTGGATGCCTACGTATGAAATATTTGGATTTTTCTCATTACAAAATATTAACTTGACACTTGGCAGGAAAATGGACAAAAGTGTGTCTCTGTGTGTAAGTTAGTATTGTTAGAAAACCTGATTAAAAGGTTACTAAAGCAATATATTGTAGTACATAAATTGCATATGGATGCATAATCTTTCTGAATACCAAAATAGTTTTGTTGTCAACTACAACTTTTAGTATGGTTGCATTTGCTTTCATAGCATTCTCTAACTTTACGCAAACTGGAGCAAAAATTGCAAAACAATATGAAGGAATATGAAAGCCATCAGAAGTTGTGGATTGCATTCAGTTCTTAAAATAATTCTGACAAAATCCTTTTCTACGGTGTGCTCTCAGATAAGACCAACATATGAGAAACAAGTACACTGTAGTTGAAACAGCAAAAAATGGCTTTTCCCTCATGTAACAAGGCTGAGGCCAAATGGAAATTTAAAGAGAAATCACACTATACCTACTGTATTTGCATGTGTTCCCAAGTGACACGATCTGAAGCACTTGAGAACCCAAGTTTATCCCACGAAGGATTCCAAATAGTGCCACCCAGTTTAATTTTGATTAAAATTAAAGAAGAAAATATTTAAATTAATGACTGGACAGTAATAATATTGCATTCGTATTTAATTTGTTTACATAGAAATAAAATATATCTGGTTCCACCTGCTGTATTTTGCAAATTCTCCTAAATGGCCTTAAGGTCAAGGGCTGTTCTTGGCCAAGTAAACAGCATGCAACTCATGGCATATCATTGCTACCGTAAGGTAATTTCTAAAGCTGTTAGAAAAAAAATCTTTCTGGATCACAATATAGTAACAGGATTTTTTACTGAGTTATTTCTGGTTCTTCAAGTGCCCAAATACTTAAAAGTTACTACTGTAATAACATTTACTTGGACATCCATTTAAGGGTAAATAATGTAAGTTGTCCTAATGGCCTATCTGATATCCAGAGTGGAGGTGTTTGTGGGTTTTTATAATGAGAATTACTCTTTCAGCAATATTGGTTCACAAACACGTCAATATTCATGGACTGATTCATGGGCTTTCAGAATGCTGAAAACTTTGGTAGCTCTTGAAAGCAAATAACTTTGTATTATTAGTGCAGCTATTTTAGAATGAAATCTTTTATGTCTCCTTTGAAAAAGATTAGTAAATGGTCCTAAACTCTTCCCCAAGTAACTTTAATTAAAGAATGGGCTTATTCTTAGCCAATGTCCTTTACGATGCATATAACTGCTCCAATATACCACCACAGAGGTATCCTATTAGGGCCACCTCTCTTAAGGGATAATCCACTGGAGTTATCCAAGATTGGGCAAGTAAGCTGAGACCAAAGCTAAACTTCAGTGGAAATTCCCATTTTCTTTCTGGACTAACAGGTTGCAAGGCAAGAATTAGCTATCATTACAGAATCTTAAAAGGGAACTTGGAAATCAAGCTAAGAGCAGTATCAACTTAGGTCAGAAGCCATAGATTACCCACCTCTGTGCTAGTAGTAGAAACATTGTCTTTTCACTGTTCAAAATTAACATGAAACATGAATGTGCGGCTTTCATTTTTGGCATCATTTGACTTGCTTATTTGCAGTCTTCCAACAAAGGCATAGTTGCAGATTCATTAAACTATAAACACAAGAATCTAAATCCAATGGTCTAATGTCCTGTTAATTATGCCTTTCCTCTTGAGTTTTACTGTCCTTTTACACCTATCCTGTCTGAGCCCAATGCCAGCTCCAAACAAACTTTTATTTTTTTTATTTAGAGTTTGCACATACTGTGCCTTGTGTTTTAGTTATAATATTCCAGAACGCTACTTTTACAAAAGGTTTATTTGCCAATTTTAAAACCATACATAAAGTTTAAAACAGGCAGGTTGTATCTTTAGAGATGTCTCCAATGCAGCATTGTAAGGCCAGTACATCTGGCCCAGTCTTTGAAGTCTTTTCAACACAGCGTGAAAACTTTAATTGCATCCTTTTATTTCCATTACAGGACATTTCCCTGAGAAAGTATCTTTTTCTTAAGTAAAATTTGTCATTAATTTTAAAACAGGCCTTGTGGTGTCAACAGCTGTGTTCTGGAAGCAGAGGTTTCTTTGGCGGGGGGGGGGGGGAGGACAGTTCGAAGATCCAGGAGGGCTTTCCAAGGCCTCATGCCACACCGTTGATAGCCTCTTTAAGCAACATTGCTTCCTCCACCTCACCTTGCTGTGTTGTCCGCTTAATATTTTCCATATGGGATTGGCCACTTTTCCACAAAATAGACCTTTCATGTTTGGTTTTAAAAAGTAGACCGTGACCTGGAAAAAACACACATATCCTGGATGGCTAGCATTTGAAGAATAAGAAATGGAAAACATTACAAAAATCAATTGCTTTGTGGTTTTCTTTTCATCTGATGTATGTGATTTAGGAGCTAAATTGTATTATTATCATTGCTGTTATTATTATTCCATTCAGAAGCTTTCTGTATTAAGCAGCAAATTAAAATGATCCCAAATACAAATGGCTCACTGTGATCAAATGGTTAAAATGGGATAGGCATGAATTTTAAAAAGCCACTATGCAGGTGATTATTTCAAGGGAAAATAAAAACCCAGTAATTTTATATCTTTATGACAGACAGGATTCCCTATAAAAGTTACAGAAACGTTTATTCATGACCACTTGCTGATCTGATTCTGCGAGTTATTTTTGTGTGACTTGATTAAAGAAAGTGGCTTTTGTATTAAAAGTACTGTGGCTTTCAAAATTCATACAATTAACATTTTTTTTTAAAACAAATCCTTACAATTTAGCTCCTAAATCACATACATCAGATGAAAATAAAAGCACAAAGCAGTTGATTTTTGTAAAAGATTGTAATTAGTATTTCAAAAGAGAGAATTATTTTGAAACTAAATTTTAGGTATCGGGTCAAAGCTTAATCAACTGTGGTTAATATAGTCTAGGGCTATTTGGGGAATAAAGGCTATCACCATCATGCTATAATTTGAATGTGGTCTTTTTTTTTTTTTGGTAAAGAAAATCTGCTTTGATTTTATTAAATCGCAAGCATGTTATTTCCAGGAAATATTTCTGATTTGGGCCTTGGGGTAAACAGTATTTGAAATGTAAACTATATGTTTATAAGCATAAAATCATGCAACAGACTTTAAAATTCCTTCTTACAGAAGCATTTTGTTATTTTAAAAAAGAGTTTTGGTTACACGGGCACTCACCAGGACAATCTGCTGTCTCTCTGAAAGCTCTTTTCTTACAGCAGCCTCGACACAGATTAAATACACACTTGTTACCCTAGGAATAGATGCAAATTAGTCCAATTTTCATATGATAATATCACACTGCCAGCATGTGGGGGGTAGTTAAAGTTGTATGTAGTCCCAACTAAAGTATGAAACAAATCTAAAAACTAAGAATTTTTTTTTCTTAATAGACTGCCAATTCACAAGAAAAAGATAATTCACCTTCCCCTTTAATAGGATTTACTGTTAATCCAGGAAAAAAGGGCGAGACTTAAAAGAGGGATATCCATCTGTTTTAGCCTCCCAGGCTTTGTGAAACCTTTTAAAATGTGTCTGTGTCACGTAGATTTATTTGAAGAATTAGAACGGTGCCAAAGTGGACACATCAATTTTAGAAGACTCTAAGTGAGTCTTAGTGGCAAATCACATCACATCACTATCATTAAAATATTGACTTTTGCCAACACTTCCTACCCATCTAGGTATTTGGACAAAATAGCCTTCTACTCCCAAGCTGTACAGGTGTGGATTAAATATTATAATATTAACTCTATAGTGCAAACAGATTACCACACCTACATTGGGAGAAACACCCTACTGAAAAATAACTTTAATACATGAACCTGCTTTCCTCCCCTTTTTTTCCCAACAATATCAAGAAATGCTATAGGTTATGGATTATCCGGATGATCTCAAGCTTCCCCAAGGTGAAAGTAGGTAATGTTCCACAAGAGTTACTGATATGTTTATATTTCAGAAGATGGGATCTGGTGCAAGTAAAGTCTATTAAACTCTCTGACCAATAAAATACACACACACAAGCCAAAAGTACAACAAACTCAAACAGTTAGTCCATTATGATCCCACCACAGGCAGTAATAAATACCATATTTTTTCCTGAACAGATGTTGAGGTCACTGTATTATTTGTCTATAATTTGTCTTTGGGAAAAGAGCAAGATCCACAATCACAGCAGATGGTTTATGAGTCAACCACCTTATGGATATAAATCTATTCCTTCTATACAGAAATTTTTCAAGAATCCATCATAGCTTTGGATAGCATTATGCTTCTGTTTACAAGTAGTCCTTGCTTAGCAACCATAACTGGGACCAGCAACCCCATCACTCAGCGCCATAGTTGCTAAGCAAAAATCATGTGACCATGACAGGCTTATGACCTTACTATCCCTTTGGCTGTTAAGCAAACCACCACAGTTGTTAAGTGAAATATCACATAATTGTGACATATTTTATTTCTGCCTTCTGTATTAACTCAGCTTGTTGCAAGCAAGTTGTGAAGCACAGAGATGGTGTTCGTATGATTGTAGGACACTGCAGTGGTTGTAAATGCGAAGACTGGTCGCAAAAGCAATTTTTTTACACTGTTGTAACTTCAACAATTATTAAATGAGGCAATTCGTAAGCGAGGACTGGTTGTATTGTTCTTTTATAGTGAAGGTATTTAAAACTAAGAGTAGTGATATAAGGTGCTCTCCGTAGATAGCAGTAGATTTCCAGATAACTTAATAAAATCTGCTTGTTCAAATTTCATTGACCTAAACTGATTTTGCCAAGGAGGGTCAGACTCAGTTCATATTTGCATAGGAATCTTCTACAAAATAAACTGTATGTAGGTTAGACTGGGATATGCTATATGGCTTCTATGAAAACTGGATGGCTGTGTTCATAAAACCAGCAGGAGTCAAATCTGACTTGGAGACAGTGCCTTTTTGGCCTACCTTTCTAAGCAAGCATCTTAAAAGCCTGTAATAAAGGCATATGATAATTAACTTATTGTTAACATAGTGCTTATGACTTTATTTTAAGGACTAGAGCACAGGTGTCAAGCTCGCCGCATCAAGTGACTTATCACAACTTTTTTTGCACTGCCAGAGCTGGGGTGGGTGCAGCCTCCATTATGATGCAACCGGCCCATGGGCCGGCAGTTTGACACCCCTGGACTAGAGCATAAAATAGTTTAAATCATTTAGTATTTTAGGATTTGCTCCGAACTGCAATTTTACTGGGAGGAATATTATTGAAACTATGTTGCAGCAAATCCCTTGGCTCAATGCACAGATTTTTTTAAGCATTTATCATTTCACTCAAGGTTTTAACGATTAGCGCATTAATGAAAACTTTGAAGATTCACCTTTGGATTTCCACACTGATCACACTTTGCATATTTCGCTGAAACAAGAAAAAATGAATTAGTTTTCAGGTTATTTCAAACATTACCCCTAGAAACTGACATACAATTTCTATCTCTTGAATTTAAAAACAGTTCTGAAAAAAATAGTTTCAAAAGAGATTTTTGAAGTACCCTAATTTAAATAAAAAGCTAGGAAAAGATGCTGGCCATGAAGAAAAAATACAATATCTGTTGAAGGCAACTCCTTTATAAGGCTAACAGGGTTACAAAAGAGCATGATAGTATTTCTGCTTGCAACTCTTTTGCAACATTCAGTTGGCCTACTGTATTTTCTGGCGTATAAGACGACTCGGCGTATAAGACGACCCCTGACTTCGGAGAAGATTTGCATGGTTTAGAAAGTCGTCTTATACGCCGAAGAATATGGTATTTTCTGGCGTATAAGGCGACCCCCGACTTCGGAGAAAATTTGCATGGTTAGAAAGTTGTCTATTATGCCAGAGAATATGGTATTTTCTGGCATATAATACGACTCGGCGTATAAGGCGTCCCCCGATTTCGGAGAAGATTTGCATGGTTAGAAAGTCGTCTTATACACCAGAGAATATGGTATTTTCCGGCATATAATACGACTCGGCGTATAAGGTGACCCCCGACTTCGGAGAAGATTTGCATGGTTAGAAAGTCGTCTTATACGCCAGAGAATATGGTATTTTCCGGCGTATAAGACGACTTGGCGTATAAGACAACCCTCGACTTCGGAGAAGATTTGCATGGTTTAGAAAGTCGTCTTATATGTTGAAAAATGTTAATTAAGTTGTTGCCTCAAATAGCTTTTGAAATTAAATGTTCCACTCTTAGCTAAAAGTTCAACAGATTTATTATAGAGAAAAAAAAATAGAGAACAAGACAACTAGGGATTGCATTTGTAGTTAAAGCTGTTGTTATAAAGAAATGAAAAGGTTATATCATGGCAACTGGACCAAAGTTTATTAAAACTAAGATGTTTCATTGCTCATCCAACTAACGTCTTCAGTCAAACTAAAAATTTGGATAGGAGTGAGCCAGAGTGTCACTGGAAAGAATCAACTCTTGCCATAACACACTGCAGGGGGTTTCTCCCCAAAATGAAAAGCAACATATAAATGAAGATTCAAGGTTTTGGTCTGGATGATTGAACCTTCATTTACATGTTATAAAGAGACTTTGAACAACAATTAAAAACATTCCATAGTCAACAGAGGCTCCACTCCTGGAAAATGCTCGGTGCTTTTGTTCTGTCCCAAAACTTCAAGAATCTCAAAATTTGTGATGCAATTACTTCCCTAACATGATAGAATTTATTTTATTTAACTATTAAAAAACAGATAAGCATAAAAAAAGAAAAAAAATATCAGTAAGTGGACAGTGAAATTGTTAAAAGTTGTATAATTGGTGCTCAGTATATCATTGATAAAGGCTTAACATAAAAAGCAGAATGCACTGAATTATTTTAAACAAAAAGCAACATTATTTAAAGATCTTTTTATATTTCTGAGTTAAAAGTGATATTGCAGCTATTTTATTACTTAAAGATAAATCATCCAATAGAAAAAAGAGGAAAAAATAAAATTTATTAATAGATTAACCTATTGATATCCATTGTTAAAGTTTCCAATTTCCCTTTTGTTACTCTGATATGTAATATTTATAAAGATTTAAATTGTTTACATATTACTAACTTCAGATCTTTTAATTCTTTTTCCTCTTAAAAACATACTCTAAATGTTTAAATTTGCCATGCTGTACAATTATATATTGAAGTTGTTCTTGCTTTATTTAGTCAAACTTGTATTGTGAATATATGCTATTAATTCTCCCATTGTTGCATATTCTCCAGATTTAAATTCCCAATCCGATATCATTGGAAATATCTCTTTTGCAAAGTTGCACTAAATTTATCCTTGGGACGATCAACATGGATCTTAGTAAATTGTGGTATTTTTCTTGTTAGGTCCTGGAATTATGCTTAATTTAAAAAAACAATGGTCCCAATTCAAAATTTGGTTTCCAAAATTTTCTAAATACTGGTAGTATTGTCTACTGGTAGTCTTATTTGTCCATCTATTCAAAGGAATTGAATAGAATTGAAAAAAAATGGACTTATGACCCATGCCTGCAGTTGTTACAACATTCCTTGCAGACACATGATCAAAATTGGGATGCTTGGCAGCATGCCCACACTTATGACCACAGGGACCCTGCAATTGCAACTCCTCCCCATCTCTCCCTCCTTTTTGCTACCTTGCTTCCCGGGAATTGTGAGAATGGGTGCGCTATTTAAAGAATGGCAGACTAACCCATTCCCATGAGACCAGGATAAAATGAGAAGGTTTCTGAAGCATCGTAAGAATGAGATGTGCAGCTTGGAGAAGGACTGGCACACTCAGTGTGAAGAATGTGATCTCTGAAGCACTGTGAGAATCCAATTATACTTCATCTCCAGTTATCAATTATAGAAAACCCCATTTCTGCCCTCTCTGGATTCTGTCATACAAGAAAGGGAAGGGGGTGAACAAAGGGGCTTTATGGCCCTCACTTCCTTCGGTACAACTTCAAAGGGATTGAATGTGGATAGCACCAAAAGGCCTTATCATAACAAAGGAGGCTATTTACCTTTCATGTAGTTTTCTCTGAAGTCTCCATCCAGCCGGCAGAAAGGAAAAGGGGGTGGGATTGTGATGCCTGAAACTGTCACTGGAAGAGGGGGGTGATTGGGTGGGACTACTGGGGAACCCCTTAAAACCTCGAATGGGAGAGCTTGGACCCCAAGTCCTGTCTAGAACGCCTGCAACCATTTTCTCTTAATAAAGGATTTCTGTTGGAAGAATTATTCCAAGAGTTCTGTCTTCTTAAGATGCAAAGTGGGGTGGGTCCTTACAGAAACACTGTGAGAACTGGGCTCCTACCATTCTCCAAATAGGAGGGTATTCTCTTTCTTTAAAACAGTGGTTCTCAACCTGTGGGTCGGGACCCCATTTGGGGTCGAACGACCATTTCACGGGGGTCGCCAAACAACGCAGTCCGCCATTTTTTTCCCCTTTTCCTCAGCTGTGCTACTCCCTTTTATTCTATTGGCTTTTGAAAGCCAATAGAATAGACTCTCTTGAATAGAGTCTAATTCTATTGGCTTTCAAAAGCCAATAGGAATTGTCCAGGCTGTCTCTGCCCTGCTGAGTCTGCCAAAAGTCCCATTCTGCAAATGGTGCTGCACCAGTTGAGTAGTCCTCGACTTATGACTGGTTGAGTAGTCCTCGACTTACGACCGGTTGGAGTCGCGGCATTAAAAAGGTTGAGAACCACTGCTTTAAAACACTGTTTTTTAATTGCTCTTAAAATGCAGCAAATACAAAACTCCAGCTTTTTGCCCTTTCTCCCAGCACAGCGATAGCATCCTTATCTTCCCACCTGATGCTAAGAAATCCCTGTCGCTCCATCTACTTTTGCCATGCACTTAAATACAAAGGGACTATTTGTTTAATTGCACAGTCCCCACATTTTCCAAATGTTTATTTAGTGACCCATAGTTGCAGAAATTTTGAGAGAGGCTGTTCCCTATGCTTGAAAAGAGATATTTTAAAAAATAAATGTCCGATGCTCCTGTTTTTAGTACAATTATACCCACTGACTATATTATATACAGCTTTATAACTTACGTTTTAATGATGGATCAAAGCTTTTGTTGGGATTCCTTAACTTCTTCTTTTGTTTGTTTTTTGAGAGAGAATCAGAGTTCCCATCTTCATCATCCTCTAGAGCTCGTTTTCCCCGAGTACTTCCTTCTATGCTAGATGGGACACTTTTGTTGCACGTTTTCTTAGGCCTGTAAAGATTGAATATAAAAACATCTAAAATGCAAGGCAACAATTACTTTCTTTGCTAATACTACCATTTTAGGAGCCTACAGAAGTCCCTAAAAATAACAAAGCTGAGACACCCCATGTTCTCCTGCCATCTTTGTTCCATTGTAGAAAAGACCGTATCAGAGGTCATGTGAGAGACTGGGTAAACACTGAGGAATATCAGTTGTAAATGGTTATATAAACAGAGCTTAAAGAGGAAAAAATAGCCTCCAGCCCCACTTTTTCCTTCGAGGTATATCAAATAAGTTTTTTTTAAAAAAAATCTTCTTCAACATCAGCTCTTTCAAAAAAAAACAAAACATTGTTGCTATATGCAAGGGTGTAGGTTTATACATATGTTGTATATAGTATATTTAAATGTGTGTTATGTATGTGTAGAATTTGAGAGCAAGCAACAAAATTTCATTTTTAATGTATGCCAGTTGCCCACAGTAAAAAATGACAATATTATCTATCTATCTATCTATCTATCTATCTATCTATCTATCTATCTATCTATCTATCTATCTATCTATCTATCTATCTATCTATCTATGCTCCTCTTTACTGCTCTAGTTAACAAAGTTAAATTGAGGACATTCATTTATGTTATTTTCAAGTAGCTAGGCCCCATAAAGCAATTCCACTAAGTGTGAATAGAAATATCCTTCTCTTTTGCATTAGAATGGGACAAGCCTACAAGAAAATGCTCATACCTGAAGGACTAACATGCATGCATACCTTAATAACACAAGGATGGGTATTCAGAGGAAAAAATATCACCTGTTGCAATTATCATTATAGCTCGTTACATGGCAAAGAGGAAGGAATTTAGAGTGCCATGGACAAGCTTCTTAAGCTATCATTCTAGCACTACATTCCTTCACCTTCAATTATATATTGCACAAATTTAATCTGTCAAATTAACAATGCAATATAAGCACTCACCCTGGTCTTAGGTATGGCTGACAAATCCAGTGGAAGAAAGGTAATCCTCCCTTTGGCTTCTCTTCTTCCTTCAAATGTGCTATTTCTTTCTGCACATAGAGCAGAACCAATGACAAATTCAATTTTTATAAGGAAGACCCACCTTAGCCTGATAGAGCAAAAATGAAAATAAAAAAAATGCATAAAACCCATACATAAGAATGTATTAAGCCATTCTGTGAAACTAGAAAATGGAGTATGAAAATAGTATGGCTGTGCATTGCTTTGGTTCTGATTCCAACAACGTGAGTTTGTGTGCAACTCTTTGAAGTAATGTCTGTCCCCAGGATTGTGTTTCCTTTGGAGGATGAAGAAACTTCAAATGCCTTAAAGAAAAGTAACACCAAGTGGGCATAGTAATTTAGATCAAGCATTTTTCATCTTCTTGGATCCAGGGCCAATAGGGATTTTTGAAAAATAGCAGCATGCTGGAATAGTGGCCCTCATCACAGAAGACAAGCCAGCCATTTAGCAGCTGTCCCCATCACTCAAACTCTCCTTGCCTCTTTTTCCTACTCATCATTAACCCTACTCACAAGTCCCGTTACTCTAAGAATCAACTCTCAGCTCTTATTCTTTCTTACATACCTTTACCCCTATTCACACAATCACACCAAAACAAATCTATTTCAACTCCCGCTATTACCCTGCCTTCCCCCTACTTCCTGCATGCCCCTCAGCCCAATCAATAGCAGTGGCAAACCCTCTTTCCTTTTTTGCCTCCCTTTTATGTTTTTAATAAGTCTCCAAGCAGACAACCTGTATAACTCATCTACTTGCCACCTCTATTTTTTTTTTTTTTTAAAGAAAGCCAATGGGCCCAGCTGGAGCTCAGGAGAAATAGTAAAGAAAGTAACTGGTTAAAATCTGCTGCAATTATTACACACTCTCATTAATAAGAATTTGTTAAGAGACATCAACTTATCTTGTTTGACAAATGAGAGGTCCTACAGTACCAAATTTTTCCCCATGAAAGTTCAGGGCTACTGCAATACACAAAGCGTCAGCTGATACCTGGCAATGCAACTTGAGCTCCCTGTTGACAGCCACTAATCCTTCCAGTGTCTTCACTTTTGCTAATTCATCACGTAGCTGCTGGTGAACCTGCAGCCTGAGGGAAATCAACACAAGTGATGAAGAAGAGATTTCAGTCCAAACTTAGCAAATGAGATGCACAGCTTCAGCTTTTCACTGCCATGAGATCTCCCTCCTTACACCAACGGTGGTGGAAATCCACTGTGAGATAGCACAGGAAATACTACGAACATCAGAATCACTCACGTGTGATGCCAAAGCTTGAAGAGATGAGCTCTGACATAGGACAATGGGCAAGGATATTGCTGTACTATTTCTAGGTATTCCTCAGCCATCTCCCAGACGACTGGATGTCTTCCTTCGAATAAAGCGGGATTATGAAGATTGCCCTCTAAAAGAAGAAAATGCAAAAAAAAAAAAAAAAAAAAAAGTAAGGAGTTTGGCCTTAACTGATAGGGCATGAAGGATTCCCAGTGGGAATTAGCTGGTGCTGCTGGGAGTTAGAGCAAGTTAAGAACTTCCTTCTCCTGCTTCCAAACTTCTCCAAATATTCCATATTCTTAGTGCCTCTGCAATCGCACTTTGGAAACCTGAGTTTGTGAATAAATACAGGTAGTCCTCGCTTACTGTTCACTCAGCCACTGCTCAAAGTTACGACAGCACCGAAAAAGGAAAATTACAACTGGTCCTTGAATCTGTAGCTGGTTGCAACATCCTCATGCTCGTGTGATCCTGATTTGGGAACTTGACAGCTAGCAAGCAGTTATGACGGTTGAAGGATCCCACGATCGTATGATTGCCAATTATGAACTCCACAACCAGCTTCCAACTAGCAAAGTCAATGGGAAAGCCAGCAGGAAGTATTTAAGTTGCCACATGGTCACGTCACGTTTAATAGCCATGCGCGATTCACTTTGCAACTGTAGCTGATGTGGTAAGTCATGCAATGTTTCACTTTAAAACTGTTGTTGCTTAGTGATGAATTGCCAGTTCCAATTGCGATTGGAGAGTACTACCTGTACGTCACTCCGTTATTCATATTTCTCGGCATGAAATTAAAATCTATTTCTTGCTATTTCAGAATAGAAATTACTTTATTATTTTACCTCCTCTGTAAAATTAATGAAGCCTTATTTCTCTTATGTTCCCATGCAATTTCATTGTTAACATAGTTAGCTAACTAGCCTCAATTCCTAAACCACCCTCATTTTCCGAAATTAAGATTTCAACCGCTTTCATTATTATTACAGGTAGTCCTCGACTTGCGACCACAATTGAGCCTAAAATTTCTGCTGCTAAAGTGAAACATTTGTTAAGTGAATTGGCCCCATTTTACAACTTTTCTTGCCACTGCTGTTACGTGAATCACTGCAGTTCTTAAGTTATAATATTATAGTTATATTATAATTAAGTTATAATATACATATAATATTCTGACTTCCCCAAAGGCTTTGCTTGTCAGAAGGGTGCAAAAAGTGATCATATGACCTTGGGATACTATCACAAATATGAACCAGTTGCCAAGCGTCTGAATTTTGATCACGTGACTGTGGGGATGCTGCAATGGTTGTAAGTGTGAAAAATGGTCATAAGTCACTTTTTTCAGCGCCGTTGTAACTTCGAACAGTCACTAAACAAACTGTTGTAAGTCAAGGATTGCCTGTAAAAGAGAGGGGTGTACAAAATGTTTCATATTAAAATGTTTTCAAGCACGAGGTTGTGCAAAATGAGCGGTTTCACACATTGTGGAAGCTTTTCAAATTCAAAATACTTATTAGCCACCCAGATTCTCAAGATGGGAGGGCATATAAATTTCATAAATAAATTCAATACATAAATTTCAACACCTCTTGACTGCTTGAAAGCAGGATGGTTTGCCAAATTTTGTGATCAAACTATTTTGAGATGAACCATTTTCACACTCCTGGATAATCACCAGTGTTTCGGGAAAAGCAATTTTCTTCCAGAATCCAGATGCAAGCTAAGAGGTGGTTAATATGCATATACAACTGCATTTCATATCTTTTGTTTCTCCATCTAAAACAATATATTTTATACGCAAACTCAAATTTTTATTTAAATAAACTCTTCAGTAAGCATTTAGAATAGCCAGTCATTTCAATCTTGTATGGCGGATATCTCCAAGCTATGTTTCGTGAAACCCAGACCTCCCCAAGAATTTGATATGGTCCCTTGAAAGACTAAAGGGTTGAGGAGGGGAAAAGAGCCACTTGAACCCAGGCAATTTTCTATCACCAGCGTTTTATCTCCAGATAATGGGGTCCAAAAGGTTTTTTTTCACTAACAGGTTCCTTGGTCTGAAAACTTCTAAAACCCTCGTTATTCAGCATTAATGGCCTCCTCTGCTTTTTAAACTAAAGCACTATGCCAGTGGTTCTCAACCTGTGGGTCGGGACACCATTTGGGGTCAAATGACCATTTCATGGGGGTCACCAAACAATGCAGTCCGCCATTTTTTCCCCCTTTTCCTTAGCTGTGCTACTCCCTTTTATTCTACTGGCTTTTGAAAGCCAATAGAATAGACTCTCTTGAATAGAGTCTAATTCTATTGGCATTCAAAAGCCAATAGGAATTGTCCAGGCTGTCTCTGCCCTGCTGAGCCCGCCAAAAGTCCCATTCGGCAAACGGTGCTGCACCAGCTGAGTAGTCCTCGACTTACGACCGGTTGAGTAGTCCTCGACTTACGACTGGTTGGGGGGGGGGTTGCGGCATTAAAAAGTTTGAGAACCGCTGCACTATGCATTCCAAAGGATGTATCTGTTAAACCTTCACACCATGACACCTGTGTCTCCCTCAGAGTCATCTTATCAGTAGAAAAGCATTTTTTTTTCACACCATGACACCTGTGTCTCCCTCAGAGTCATCTTATCAGTAGAAAAGCATTTTTTTTTCCTATTGGGGTCCTCTATTAACATGCATTCTTTGATCAAGATTCCACGTATAACACCTATGCCCCCCTTGGAGCTCTTGTTTCTGGCTCATCTGGATGCAGGAGTCCAATGTCTCTATATACCCTGCTAGCTTTGGAAATGAATCATTTTGAATCTACTTCAGTTGTCGGTGTCTATTGCGTGAGGTATCCACTACAGTAACTATCCTATCTTTTTAAATGGTCGGTCTTAATGTTTGGATGTGTCACCCAGTCTGTAGGGTAGATTGGAAGTAAACAGAAACAACAACTAGAAATAGCAGTGATAAACCCACTTCAATATTATTGCAAGAATATTGCATTGCTGGGTCCCCAAAGTCACCGGGAGTCTGGGCAGAGGATTATATTTATCATATTCGACACCACTGATCTCTGCTCAGAAAATTTAAATCACTGCTCTAAAGGATAATGAAAGCAACAGAAACAGCAGATGACCGTACTATAAACAAGAGTATCATTGGTATCATTTAACTTCAATTGAGACATTGAACAGTTTCTTTTTCTTTCCTACCTGCGCTCATAACACCCTGAACGCCTGTCTTCTGAATACACCGTTCCACATCTTTGAGGTATTGAATGTTTCCATTTGCAAAAACGGGGATGTTTACAGCCTTTCTATGACAGCAAATGGAAAAGGAAAGATAATGCATCAATAATAGAAATTAAAAACTTCCAAGAGCAGCAAACTCTTAGACTCGCCAGACAGTATTTTCTCTAAATTGATGGCATTCAGTGCCTAGAAAAAAAACCCTCCTGACTAACACTGAACTGAGGACCAAAGGCAGGGACTTGGTCTCTCCCTTCCAAGATACAATATTCCTTCCAAGATACAATATTCCAATCCTACTGATAATTCCGTGTGCTCAGAGAACTAAAGGGCAGAACCCTCTGGCCTTTCCCACTGGTCAAGATGTCCTTGTTTAGGAACAGTCAGAAAAGGGTAACAGGAAAATCGACCCAGCACGCATGGCTTACATGCCAGTACGTAGCTCCCAATTTCATTTCATTCTGGCTGTGAGAAACTAACCTCCTGCCTTTCTTAGCCCCTCTATTCCTCTTCTCTAATGAGTCTTGCCTGCTGCAGAAAGTAAACTTAAAGGCAGAGTCCATTTCTTTGCTTTAATTCATGTGGGCCCATTTGGGAGGCATTAATTATCTAAAAGATGAGATACAAATACAATACAGTCAGTGAATCAATCTACCCGTGTTTTCCCCAAAACAAGACCCCATCTTATATATTTTTTTGCTTTTGAAAGAGGCACCAAGTCTTATTTTCAGGGGATGTCTTACCTGCTTACCTTAGGACCACCACAGCCGGGCCTCCCATACCCCGACACCTGTCGCGCTGCTGCCTGAGTTCTTCTACATCTATTTGCGGCCGCATACCAGAGGCCATCGCTCGCGTTGCACCATGGCGTGTTGTGCTGTGGCGTGCAGGAGTGGCAGCACCGGCGCAATGCACCACGCAGCTTCCTGCCGCGATCGGCGCAATGAGCCATGTGGTCTTCTGCTGTGATCGGCGTGATGAGCCACATGGCCTCCTGCCATGAGCAGCAGCAACGGCACAATGTGCCACATGGCGAGTGGCCGCAAGCAGCCACAAAACAAATCAAGCTCCACCCCCTGCCCTAGCTTGATTTTTACACGTGTCTCGCCCCCAAACTAGGGCTTATTTTGGGGTAGGGCTTATATTAGGCGCACACGTAAAAATCAAGCTAGGGCTTATATTTTCAGGATAGGGCTTATTTTCGGGGAAACGGGTATATGCATTCAATAGTACAGGGTCCCTTCCCCAGGTTAGCTATGGGTATTTACCTCACAGCCTGTATGTGCTCCCAGGAAGCCACACCAACCAGAGGTCCCTTCTGTTCTTTAGTGCGGCCATGGACAGTTAGAAGCTGTAACAAATTGTATGTGACTGAGACAATCTTAGAAAATATTTCATTTGTCTCTAATGCCAGCTGGGTTTTTTTTTTTTTTTTTTTTACAAATAGTTAGGAATTCTAAATTCCATATCTATTTTTTTCCGATAACATTACAAGTGGTCACAATTTACGACCATAATTGTCCCTGAAATTTCTGTTGCTAAACAAGGCAGTTGTTCAGTGACTTTTGCCCCATTTTATGACCTTTTTGCAGAGTTAAGCGAATCACTGCAGTTGTTAAGTGAATCTGGCAAAAACCCCCCATTGACTTTGCTTGTTGGAAGCCAGCTGGGAAGGTCACAAATGGTGATCACATGACCCTGGGACACTGCGACTGTCATAAAAATGAGTCAGTTGTCAAGCATCTGAATTTTGGTCACATGACCATGGGGATGCTACAGCAGTCATTAGTGTGAAAAAGGGTCACATAACACTTTTTTTCAATGCTATTGTAACTTCGAACAGTTGCTAAGCAAATGGTTGTATACTGTTTGGTTGTATGTACAGGTAGTCCTTGCTTAACAATCACAAATGGACTGGCAATTCCATCATTAAGCAACGTGATAGTTAAGTAATGCATCATGTGATCATAATGGACTTATGACCTCACTTCCACTGTGGTCATTAAACAGATCATCTACGTGTCATCAAACAAGATGTCATGTGACTGCAAACTGCAATTTCACTGCCAGCTTCTCCAATGATTGAAGTGCACAAATGGCAATCCTGTGAGCATGGGATGCTGTAATAGTTGTAAAATGCCTACCAGTCGCAAAATGCTTGAAACTATCATCTGACCCTGAAATGGTCAGAAGTATAAGGAATGGTCATAAAGCTACTTTTTCAGTTCTATCACAACTCTGAATGTTGGCTAAACAAGACAGCTGTTAAGCAAGGACTATCTGTTTTTCCTCAAATACTAAATAAGCTTCTTGGAACATACCTGCCTATTTTATCTAAAAAGGTTAATAGTTTGATACTGACATCAAATCATATTAAACATCTTGACTTGTGTGCTATTATATTGCAAATACTTCCTAGTTGGTGGGATGAGAGCAACAGTACATTGACCATATTAGAGATCCTGAGCTAAAAGTGAACTTTAATTGCATTTGTCATATATGCCAAAATTGATCAGTAATAATCTTACTATTAACTATGCAGAATGCTGCATATGGCATGAGTATGACTAAGGCCTGTAACATCCCACCTAAATGACTGTGGGCGGTTTGCAAGCCCAGAGCCTTTACAATGCCAAGTATAGCATTACAATTTAATTCTATATTGTTGGCTGTGAACCCAAATAATTGTTATGTTAGCAGTAAATATTAACTAATTTTATAAAGAAGAAGAATAACAGACCAAGATAGTTGCATTTAACCAACAGACTGAACAACTGCAAGTAATTTCTAAACAACAAAATCAAGAACAATTAATACTGCAGAATTTACATACCTTGGTAGAATGTTTACTAAGGCTTGGAAAATGGAGAGGAAATGTTAAAAGGTATAAATGCTGATAGAAAGACCATGGAACTTAGTGTTTCTGGTGTAGGAATGAATGTTTGTGGGAGCAAGCAAAATTCGCCATGGGTAACAGCATACGTTTGCCCACTTCACTGCACAGAAGTGAGACCGGGCGATGTCAAGAAAAACATAGAAACAAGTTTAATGCAGGGAAAAAAGGATTACTTAAAAAGGTGGTAAAAAAAGAAAAGTTGTGGTCAAGAATTAATGAGTGATTAATAAATGTAGGCCGAACACTAAAGTAAGTTACTAGTATGAAAAACTATGCTGATGTGATTTGATCATATATGTAAAGAGAATGAATATTAAACCGCAAAGCCATTACGTATAAGTGAACAAACTGAGAGGAAAACTAAAAATAATTGAATAAATTTTATGTCATTCTCAAAAAGAGAGAAGTTGAATAAATAAAGGCAATATATGAAACTATGCACAGATGTGCTGAAAGCAGGGAGTTTTCAAGGATAAAATATGGAGAAGTAGAGTGAACAGTATCAGTGTAAGTTAATGTTCTCTCATGTTTGACTTATGTGTCTGTCTTGGTTTACATTTTCCTTCCTCCTTTTCTGAACTTTGCATAGCATCACTTAAGCTGAAAGACAATAGCATTATAGATACGTACATATAATTCATACTTCAAAACAGATTATAATGGATTCCTTACTTGACAACCAGCTTTCTCCAGCAATTGAGCATATTTCACAGTTTTACTAATTTCTTGGAAAACACGGATTTTGCATGTAATAGGTACAGAGAGCTTTTCATTGGCCAATGCAACTGGAAAACAAGAGAAAGAAAATGGCTGAATCTGGAAGTTACATTAGTAGAAGAACAAATAACTGCAATCCCCTTTTCTGATAAACAGCATGTGTTTACCACACTGCTGCGTGTATACATTATTACAGGAATAAATAACTATTAGGCCCTACTGTCTCTTGTGTGTGTCAAGTTTACATTTGCAAAAAGATTTTGTGGACAAAAGAACTGTCTATAGTGGAAGGATAATCCTGTGTCAGTGACCCAAAGCAATGAGGGAGCTTCAAAAATATGAACCAAAAGTCTACCATATTGGCTACTGCACCATTTCAATTCAGTGGCCCCTCTGTCCTGTGTTGGGCAATTAGGAATCAGCTGCCAGTTCTGTTTTATTTTATAATATTAGCTATATGTTTCTTCTAGTCATAATTAGCAAGATAGCATATCCACAACTTTGTATGCAGAAGAAGTATGGGAATACAGTCCAGTTAACTGTTGCTGGAATTACTTTGCATCCAGCAAACCCTACAGAACTATTTTTGGTTATATTGTCAAGGCAGAGGGACCAGTTACCAAAATCTATGTTCATAGCTTGCTGTGTCATCCAAACAGGATGCCCCAAGGATAAATATAACACATTTTGGTTCCACTCTTTCCTCATCCCATCCTATAATCAAGAACGATCAGGTCTTACTCATTTTTGGGAGAAGGTCCCACTCCTCTTGCAGGAATGCTCCATAGTGACCTGAAAGAAAATCCAAAAAATTATGGTCTAACAGGGACTGGCCCAATGTTAGCTACACAAAATAGCCACAGCAGTAGACAGTTCCCTCCCCCCGCCCTTTAGGCTCAAGAATAAATAAAGATGGAAAATATATTGGAGAAATAAAAAGATTACTTCTAGGGAGCAAAGAAAGAATGACTGCACATGGCAAGCATAGAGGAAGTAGAAGATAATCTAAAAGATGGCTTTTCCTAGAGAATTCACAATGACAAGCATTTGTTGTGTAGTTGGAGGGAGTCAGGCGGGACTTGATGGCACTTTACTAATTCATTCCTTTCAAGAGAGACTGGTTCTGTGTCAATGTATGTGTAGTTTTGGGGCCTAAATTATTTTAGATTATGCATACCTCTTTTTGCAATCATCTGAGGGCACCCCAGATTCAGGTCAACTGCATCACAATAGTCTTGAGCTAACAAGGCAGCCTCGACAAACACTGCTGGATCATTGGCACAGAACTGTGAAAGAGATATATAAGCCAAATAGTAAGTTAGCATTTATTTTAACATCAAAATGGCAGAAGCATTTAACACATTTATAAAACAATAGGCCATCATGCTATTAAACGCCTTCTAAATTGTGTTATTAAGTATGACAAAATATTTTATATACTTAATAATAATAATAAAGTTGGAAGGGAACTTGGAGGTCATCGAGTCCAACCCCTTGTTCAGGCAGGAACCCTACACCATTTCACAAATGGCTGTCGTCTCTTCTTAAAAACTTCCAGTGTTGGAGCATCCACATCTTCTGGAGGCAGGTTGTTCCGTTGGTTAATTGTTCTAACTGTCAGGAAGTTTCTCCTTAGTTCTAAGTTGCTTCTCTCCTTGATTAGTTTCCCTCCATTGCTTCTTGTCCTGCCTTCAGGCACCTTGGAAAATAGCTTGACTCCCTCTTCTTTGTGGCAGCCCCTGAGATACTGGAACACTGCTATCATATCCCCCCTCGTCCTTCTGTTCGTTAAACTAGACATACCCAATTTCAGCAACCGTTCCTTATATGTTTTAGCCTCCAGTCCTCTAATCATCTTTGTTGTTCTTCTCTGTACTCTTTCTAGAGTCTCGGCATCTGTTTTACATTGTGGTGACCAAAACTGGATGCAGTATTCCAAGTGTGGCTTTAACAAGGCATTGTAAAGTGGTATTAACACTTCACGTGATCTTGATTCTATCCCTGTTAATGCAGCCCAGCACTGTGTTGGCTTTTTTGGCAGCTGCAGCACACTGCTGGCTCATATTTAGGTGATTGTCTATTAGGACTCCGAGATCCCTCTCACAGTTAGTACTATTGAGCAAGGTGCCCCCTATACTATACCTGTACATTTGGTTTTTCTTGTCTAAATGTAGAACCTTACTTTTTTCACCACTGAATTTCATTTTGTTAGATAGCGCCCAGTGTTCAAGTCTGTCCAGGTCCTCCGGTATCTTAAGCCTGTCTTCTGAAGTGTTGGCTATTCCTGCCAGATTAGCGTCATCCGCAAATTTGATGTGTTCCCCATCTATCCCCTCGTCCAAATCATTGATGAAGATGTTGAAGAGCACTGGGCCCAGAACAGAGCGCTGGGGCACCCCACACTTCCCTCCATGTTGATGCAGTTCCATTGAGGACCACATGCTGAGTACGGCCAGTCAGCCAGCTACGAATCCATCTGGTGGTGATGCTTTTTAACCCACGTTTTTCTATCTTTTTTTTTTTTTTGTCCTCCCCAATCCAAGTAATATTATTGTTGTTGTGACTACCTGACAAGTTCTGATTATAACGTTCCAGGTAAAAACTCTTTGATTCATCATGACAGCATTACCTTTTCCCCACAACTACCACCATGTGGGCTAAGTTGACTGGGAGAGAGTGATTGGTCAAAAGTCATCTAATGAGCATGAGTGACCAAGGATAGGCTTGAACCTAAGTTTCCTTTGTCTTAATAAAACATCTTAATACTTATATCACACATGTTGAGTTTACAATTCTTACCACTATAGTAAATGTCTGTGGATTATGGGAATTAGTCCTCGAGTGGGTGCATTAATTATTTTAAAATTACTTTTTTGAAATATTTGTCACACAATGCAGAAAAATGTATTCCAAAACAAAGTTATGAAAGGCCACTGACATCATTTGGTCAGTATTACCTGTACAATCAAAGGTCTGTCTTCAGGGCACACTTCACAATACAAGTTTTCCTTACGATAATTGGCATCTCTGACAAAGACCTGAGCATGCAGCATAGGAGTATAACATAGGTGGGCCCCATGACGGCGGCTTAACAGTCTCCAAGCCAGTTCGCTTTGATCCACCATAGGAGCAACCACAAAACGGGCCCCTCTCAGTGTGTTTTTCCAAAATTCAAAGCCCTTGAGTTTGGGCATCATCCTTTCACTGGAAAGAAATACAAACAGTAAATGTTAATATCCTTTTATTCATCTTAGAAAGTAATTATAACATGCATTAACTGTATTCAACAACTGATATTAGTTTTTTTTCACATGGTACCCATTTACTATTGCAATCTATCATTTGTGTTGTTCTTAACACCTACATACAGTAGTCAAATGGTCAAAACTGAGCAAGATCCAGACGTCTGTTGTGCACTTAAAAGTATATTATATTTGTTGTTGTTTAGCCACTAGATTGTGTCCAACTCTTTGCAACCTCATGGACCATAACAGACCAGGACCCCCCCCCCCGTCCTCCACTGTCTCCCTAAGTCTGTCCAAACTCATACCCGCTGCCTCGATAACACTATCAATCTCATCCTCTGCTCTCTCCTTCTCCTTTTGCCTTCAATCTTTCCCAACATCAGGGTCTTTTCCAATGAATCCTCTCCTCATTAGGTGGCCAAAGTATTTGAGTTTTAGCTTCAGTATCTGTCCTTCCAAAGGACAGTCAAGGTTGATTTCCTTAATACGTATTTAAGATAGTATAAAACTACACAGTAACTATATTATTTAAATTATATACCATTTGTTAACAAATTGCTGAACCGCAAGGATTTTATAGTTTAGAATACATTTCCTACAATTTTTATATTCTAGGATTATTATTCTATGATTCTTTAACTCCTGCTTTATAATGCTACAACATACCACATTTTATTTTCCTTACTTGGTAATCTAACTTGCCCTGCCAGAGCTTATTCATTTTATCTTGAGAATTAAGATCAAATTAAAACAATGCTAACTAGAAAAACAGCACTATGAAACATTTCTATCTTCTTGTCTGCAAGAAACCAGATCTGTCAGATCTAAACTTAAATATAAGTGACAAGTGAGTTATTTCTTCCTTTATGAAACATTGTCAGCGTGGCTATGTTTCTAGTGTGTGAAACTCACACATTTTGCAATTAGTTTCTCTCTCCCCCATCTCTATTTAGGGAAATAAAGAGAGAAATCCCTGTTATCTGATAACAGCAAAGCTGGCATATTATTTTTATAAGGCTAGGGAGCCAATCCAATATGACCGGATTACCTTTTGATGATGGCCGAGCATTAGTCTATAGGTCTAGCAGGGAAAGCCAGCTAGCTTACAGAGGGAGACTTCCTATAATTATCTAAGAGAGGAAAGAGCGAAGGCTCGACGTAGATGCCTTGTTGTCTCCATACGGCAAGGGGAGCCCATGCCGGCTTCCATCTAGAATTCACCTTTTCAAAAAGCAGCGGCGGCGGCAGAAAGATGCTACGTTACACAGCGGCACCCCGGTCACGGTCCTGCCACTTGGCCAAACCAGCCCAAGCCCCGAGCTCATCTCCCTGCTCTTCAAGGAGGGCAACCCTATAAAAACCAGGCCAGGAGCCCGGCCTGCCTCCCTTCTCCGGAGCTCTAGCGGGGCCCCCCACCGGCCCAAATCTTTCTTCCGCCGGAGCCCCGATAGCACCTGACGCCAAGGCTGAGGCCAGGCGGGGCGATTAAGCCCCCCCACCCAGGGAACGCACCACTCATTTCAGTCCGGCCCGCGTGGGAGGGCGTAACCTCGAACGCAGCCCCCTCGGAAACGACAGCGCGGAAGAAAGGGGCCGGACGTCTTCTTCCCGGCCGCCCAGCAAAGCCTCCTCTGCCGGAAGGAAAAAGACGAGAGAGGGACTTCCTGCATTTACCGCGCGGCGCTTTTTCTTACTTAAGCTTGCGATGCGGGTGGTCGGGTATTTCAGACAGTACCGACTAAAATTTATGCTTTGTGCGTATGTGAACTCAGGCGACTGGATCAGTTAAGGAAACGAAAGGTTAAATGAAAGGAGGCGTAACTCCCCGTTCCTTCCCGGCTCCCTGAAAGTTGTAGAGTCGCTCTTTACCGAGCTGAGGAAAGTCGGGCTCCGGAAGAGAGAATTGGAAGAGAAAAGGAATGTAGGGCAGCCGGCTTTCTGCTTAGGGGAAAAAGACCTCTTGACCCATTTAGCGGTCTGCCGAAACGTCAGCCAGCATCTCTTCTGACTCCGTTTCAAGTCACTGCAATCCCGTCACTTAATGGGGGCAAAGCCCGGCAGCTTTTACACTGTTTGAGGGCGCCTTTCAACAAACAGCATGGAGACAAGGAGGAAATGCTCCTCTATCCTGGTACAGCTGACAGGAGTCTCAGGCTGCGGTGGAGATGAAGGCATCGTCCGTGGGCCATGGCAGAAAAATAATCTTTTCCCAGAACATTTTGTAGCATGGCCAGGATCAACTGAGAAAAGGGTATTTACAGGTGGTCCTCGATGTACGACTACAGACAGTTGAGCCCCAAATTTATGTTGCTAAGTGAGACATTTGTTAAATGAATTTTGTCTCATTTTACAACCTTTTTTGCCACAGTTGTTAAGTGAATCGGGCTTTCCCATTGACTTGTCAGAAGGCTACAAGGTGAACACATGGCCCCAGAACACCGCAACTGTCATAAATATGAGTCAGTTGTCAAGCATCTGAATTTCAATCACATGACCATTGAGATCCTACAGCGGTCATAAGTGTATGAAAGTGTGAAAAACAGTCATTAGTCACTTTTTTCAGTGCTGTTGTAACTTTGAATGGTCATTAAATAAACTGTTGTAAGGCGAGGACTACCTGTAGTTTTGCTCACTCAGTTCTGAGGTGACCATTTTGTTGGCATGTGAGATGTTCATGCCCTGTGTGCAATAGGAATAGAAAGAATCACCTGATTATGTGCCAAATGAAAGATGTGTCTTTTTATTTAAAAATATTTATTTTTATATTTTACATAATCAGAAATATTTCAGCTTCAAACTTCAGTATAATGATGCAGCATTGGTGATTCAGCAATGCCACATTCCATTTCCTTAGTCTACTCCATTTTTATATTCTTGATATCATTGGATCCTCTTCAAATCTGATTGTGCTGTTCGAGACTAACCTTCAGATGATTCACTCTTAATTGGGATGAGCAATATTATTTTGACATGGGAGAACAGAGGACATAGCTAGTGACTGGAAGTGGAGACAGCGGATCTGAAATGCTTATTTTGTCATTTTGCTTTAGGGACTTTGGGAAAAATTAGGGGCAAAACTGATATAAACATTTCAGACCTGCCCATTTCGGGAGGCTCACACATTGCCCTAAAGTCTAGGTTGATAATCCCTGATTTATTGTCAAGAAACCTTATTACCAATAAATGTTGACATTAAGGATCAAGTCAGATCTAATAATGAACCCCATGCCTCATACTCTGCTGTCCATTGTGCTTGCAGCCTGAAATCACAGCACCTATAACCTGCTGACTTTTATACATTCCATTTTAGGACTTATGACTTCTATATCAAGTCAGCCTTCAATTTTGCCTTATACTGACTTTTGGTAAACTTTTTGTCTAATAAGATAACCAATATTATAGGTAGTCCTCAATTACAGCTGCAATTGGGACTGGAATTTCTGTTGCTAAGTGATGCAGTCATAACATTGTGCTTTATAACTGCATCACTTAGCAATGGCAATCTCAGCAGTCCTAGTTGGTCATAACTGTGTGGGTCATAAAATGAGGGCCTCACGTGACCATATAGGAAGAAGCAAGAGTCTAAGGCAAGCAGGCTGGCAGGTGAGAGTGTGGATGACAGCTAAGAGTGGACAGGCAAATTCAGTACAGACAGTTGCTAAAGAGTGCAAGCAGACACCTTGGGCAGTACTACCAAGCAGGGGTGGGTGTGCGGATGTCACGGGGCACTACAATATGGGCAGGCACTGTGGAATACAAGTGAGTGGATGCCCAGGCAGGCAAAAAAACACCAGGAGCACAAGCGACTTACCCATTAACTTTGCAAGTGAAAGTCACAATTGTGATCACATAACCACAGGACACTGCAACTGTTGTAATTGTGAGCTGATTGCCAAGCGACCAAATTGTAATCATGTAATCACAGGGATGCTGTAACAGCCACCACTTTGTGGCTAATAGCAAGTCTCTTATTGAGCACCATTATAATTTTGAACGGTTGCTGAACGAGTGGTTGTAACTTGAGGACTACCATACATCTTTGCTATGATGCCTTTTAGTATGCAAAAGCAGTAGCAGCCAATGGTTTAGAATGGAAGGTAGGAACTTCCTGACATGACATTGTGCTATGGGATAAGATAGGAAGATGCTGATGCTCTAAAGAGAAGCCTGAAGAGGAGGCATGGTAAATTGGATTGTGGTGTAATTATTGTAAATTCATCCACCTGGCAAGTGGTATCATGCACTACCTGTGAAAATTTCAAACAGACAGCTTACTCAAATATTATTTGTGACTCAACTGATTCTGACTACATAATGATTAATTTTACATTAATTTATACATGCCCAGTTATACATAAGAGACTAACAAATGTGGCATTAGGTATTTATTTGAACAAATTCTAATAAAAAAATCTGCCGTCTAGCAATAAACAGTGCAAAAGCTATGACTACTGTCTATCCTTTCCTGACTTCTAAGTTTCAGTAGCTGTTTTAGGTTCCAGTTTTGGCATTCATCAAACTGAACAAATATATGGTGAAAAATTGCCAAAAATTAAAACACTCAACATATATATCTGGTTAGCTAATTGCAAAATAGGTTCTGTTGAACATTTGGTTGCAAGAGTTATCACCCATTAAATTTATTTCTACCAGTTGCCCTATTCAGAAATATGTATTTTATTTCTATCAACAAGAAGCATTAAAAGTCAGTCAGTGGTTCTTGCTGGACAATAGCTGTGGAGTAAGTGATGTTTAAAAAGTGGAGTGAGTATGTGGCCGGCCCTCTTTTCTTCCCAAGATTATCCACTAAGAGAACCAAAGACAAATTCAAACATGGCACAAATCACAAATCATAGAAACAGCCAGTGGAACCTTGCATTTTAGGAATTTAGTGCAAAAGCAATTTGGAATAATCTTATGGGTAATTTATTCAGTTTTGTTATTGTTCATTTGCTGAGGCAGAATAACTTCCAATAATGTCCTTTGAACATTTTAATGCTGGTGGTATAATGGTTGCCTTCAGAAGGAAATTTTTCTGTAAATACAGATAGTCTTCAAGTTACGACCACAATGGAGCTCAAAAGTTCCATTGCTAAGCAAAACAATTGAGTTGTGCTCCGTTTTACAACCTGTTTTGTGCAGTTGTTAAGTGAATCACTGCAGCTCTTAAGTGAAGCATGTGGTTCTTAAGTGAATCTGGCTTCCCCCATTCACTTTGCTTGTCAAAAGCCTGCTGGGAAGGTTACAATTGGTGATCACATGACTCCAGGACAGTGCAACTGTCATAAATACATCCCAGTTGTCAAGCACCTGAATTCTGATCACGTGACCATCGGGTTGCTGCAACGGCTGTGTTGCAAAACCAGTTGTAAATTTTTTCAGTGTTGTATCTTTGAACGGTCACGAAATGAATGGTTGTAAGTCAAGGACTACCTGTACTTAGTTATTCTCATATTTTGCACCGATTGTCCTTTCAATTATGCTATATAAATGTTAGCCTCATTCTGCTATTGGAAGCGAAGGCAGTTAGAGCTTTCAAATTGTAAAAAATATTGTGGCATAAGTTTTGTTTTTACCAGCTTTAAATATTAAAGGAAATGGAAGACACAGATTAAGGAAAACATGTTTGTGTAGTCAATCAACCACTCTAACCTGAATAAATTGAGATCTATTTTTCTTCAAAAAAAGAGGAAGAAATGTAAAAATAGACAATGAACAATATGGCAGATTTAAAGTGTTTAATTCAAGAACAGCTGCAGAAAAAAAGATGCATAGAGTTTTTCCTAATGTAAACATAAAAAGGAGGGAAAGCACAAACACAGTGGACAGATTTTTTTTTTCATTTTTCATTTCAAAGAACTTCTTAACAACTAAAAGCATGCATCTAGCTGCATGTCCACAGAGGATGGGCTAGCCAACTCATTCTCAGCAAGTATGAAATGTGTGTGCCCTGATGCTAGTAAAATAATCCAGCTGAGAAACTGGACTCAAAAGAGTTTGGAGAGGCACTACAGTTCCTCTCATTGCTGGTTTTTCAGAGTATCTCCACTGTATCATTATTGCAGCAGAAATGCACTGACTCTTCTACAATTATCTCCAACACAAAAGAGGCAAAAATAAAAGAAGAAATGTAATCAACTCCAGTAATTTTAAATTATTTTTTACATAGGAAGTTTTGCAGATATTGAAAATTATTACCAAATTCTGCTTGAAAAACGGGGAAAGAAGGATTCAGATTCTTGTCAACAAGAAACTCTGTAAATCACAATTATTGAAGTTGCAAAGAGGAAATAAACAAACTAAACCAAAAGCATTTTGGGGAAATGTTTATGTTGGGCTTGGAAGATTGTATATACTTGATTTATGCATTCCCAAATAAGTGAGAGGAAGTATTTAAAGTTTTGATTTCACTCTTGGCCAAAAAAGCATGTCATTATACATGCCCAGAATTACCATATCCTTACATCAGAACCTGAATAAAAGTTTGGCAATTTCGCAAAAGCCCA